CATCTATTCCATAGACTACACCATAATATGACTAGACACGGCGAGGTTCATTGAATGGTTGAATATGCTCCTTTTTAGCGAAGGTTTTAGCGAAGGTTTTCTAAGCCCTACGAATTTCCCAATTGTGTTCATTCCTAGTTTCCTTTATATTCTGATAATCTTGGTCATAAAAAAGAGCAGTAGAAGTAAGTACAGACCCACACATATAGCAAGACATATGTTTTTAGTGGAGCAACCGCGTCAAAAATAATTTTGAGGTTCACTGCAGCAAAAGCAACTGAAACTTGCCTTCCATCGCCAAAAACCCAGAGCGCGCGTTGTCGTCAACGTGTTAATAGGCATGTCGTTCACCGCTACAGCGTGTTTCACCTTTACCAGCTTTCGATCTTTTGATATTTTTATAAGAAGCCAGCAGCGTCCCACACACTCCATTACAGGTAGGGCTCTTACGGAAGCTCCACTACAAATTCTTCGTTATGGGCACCATTGTGTAGGTAGAGGTCTAGGCTGCGGAACTCCAGAAGCTGGCCGAGGCAGCTCGTCAGGAGCCCTCGTACCGCGACAATATTTATTTCTTTCATGACATTGCGAATCACGCGGGTAGCGAAAGTGAGGTCGCCTCCTTTCTCGACCCGCACTCCGCTGGGTTTTGGCAAAGGAGCATCAAGAAATTTTCTGAGCGTTGAAGACAAGTGGTGGACACTCATGGTAGATATAAGACCGGTCAGGAGTTGTAAAAAAAAGATAAAATTAAAATCAAAAATTTGAAAAAGTGTTGCAGGACTTTCTTTCCAACCTAATATTATGGGCGGAAGTGGTGTAGTGGCAAGTGGCACGCTTACCACGCGAGCGGTCCGGGGATCAAATCTGGGTCGTGAGTCGCCCGGGCCAACCAAGCCTTCCATCCCTCCGGGGTCGGTTAATTGGTACCAGACTTGTCTGGGAGGAAAACACTGACTTGTACATCGGCTGGCCCCCGCAAGTCATTGTATAGGCCACATCGCATTCAAACGCCACTACGAATGTACAAATGGAAGTCCAAAAAGGGATTGATCAACGGCAAATGCTTTATCCTTTTTTATTATCTACGGTCACCCGTACTCATGATAAGGCCCAACGCTCTTGTCGAGGGATTTCGAATCGCCAGAACAGCAAGTTCAAGTCACGTAAACAGCTCTATCCCCCCCCCCCCCCCACCGATCTAACGGACTGATCCACCTAAATCCATCATGAGGTGTACCTTTGAGGAAAATATTGCAGTCGTAACAAGAGTGAAACTGCAACAGCGAAAGCTGACTATTAGAACTTACTTGATCTGACTGGGTCGAAATATCAACTTCAGATCCCAACTGCCAAATTCTCGATTAGGTGGTCGAATAGTGTACTTCTTCGCCCATGAGGCGATCTCATCTAGCATCGGATTAACCGCCACGACACCTTTCATACCACGAAAACGGAACTGTCAAAAAAGAATTAATCAACAACGTCTCATTCGTAGCTCACCTCCGCAAATAATACACAGGTGTGCAAAACTTAACCACGAAAGTAATTTTCGCATTCTCACTGCTAGGTAACTTAGCTCGATGAAATTCGGAGCATATACAGAAGGGACTAGCGTACCACAGAGAGTTCTGGCGGAAACACGCACTGGTGAGAACAGAAATAAGGGTTTTCTTCAACGACAGTTATTAACATATGAGTCCTAGCTTGAACAGTGGCACGGTAACCGTATAGGGATGATGTCCCTGCCCGATCAATACTACCTGGTATTTGCTTGAAGAGAATGCTTCGGTGAGAACATTCAATAGGTGCTGAGACATTGGGAATAAATCAACAATCAATAGAATCGCGTTGGGTTCTCAGCTAAGGGAAGGATCCCAGGTCGAAGTGGCCATTCGTAATGAAACCTATACTCACATACGTGTTTTCGGACGCTGATTTCAAATCCGTCCTCCAAATTTGCGGAACGATTCTCTGAACAGAGTTACAAAGGTTTCAAATGAATGGCCGTTAGAAGAGACACCCTCAGCCTACTGCCGGCAGCGGCGGCCTGGCTGAGTGGTAGTGGGGGCGCATGATGGTGGTGAGACTATGGTTCGGATCCTGGTCATGATGAAGTTTTTGCATTTTGTAATTTTGCTTGTTTTCAAGCTGAAAGACCATTCAGTGTTGAAATTACGCCATGAACGCTGTCAAGTGTTTGCAACGTGTTCTGTTGTTGGTATCTTTGCCGTTTATAGATTGGTCTCTGTCACTGACAATGACGTCACTTTCTGTGACGTGGCAGTACCCCATACCCTACCCTGTACAATAATTGATCGAAAACTTCATAAAGAAATTAGGTCGTACTTGAAAGGAGCATGCAAACACGTTGCAAACACTTGAAAGCGTTGTCCATGGCGTAATTTCAACACTGAATGGTCTTTCAGCTTGAAAACAAGCAAAATTACAAAATGCAAAACTTCATCATGACCAGGATCCGAACCATAGTCTCACCACCAACATGCGCCCCCACTACCACTCTGCCAGGCCGCCGCTGCCGGCAGTGGGCTGAGGGTGTCTCTTCTAACAGCCATTCATTTGAAACCTTTGTAACTCTGTTCAGAGAATCGTTCCGCAAATTTGGAGGACGGATTTGAAATCAGCGTCCGAAAACACGTAGGTGAGTATAGGTTTCATTACGAATGGCCACTTCGACCTGGGATCCTTCCCTTGTAAGAAACATTGGTGAATGTGAGCAGTGATTCTGAGCTCGCCCGCGCGTGGCGAGAAGAAAGAATTCATTATGCATCCAGAACCATTGGCGAATCTGGTTGTTGTGATAGTCCAGACGGTTTGGTGTGGAAAGGCATAAGTTGCTCCAGTATACTGTCCTCCAGGCTTGTGATCGCCTTACACTTCCCGATCAACGTTATTGTGATGGTGAACTCATTCTGATGCGCGTTTTTAAGCGGTAGTTCAACCTTAATCTTCATTCAGCATGAAACAACAAGAAGGACAGCGAAGCGTATCGAAAAGCCAAGGTGAGGGGATTTCTGAAGAGAGGATGTTTGGTGATTTAGTTGGAATCTGCCCTTTTCGTTCCAGTTCAATCCTATCGCGGGCACGTCTGGAATGCATCTGGGAGAACTACTGCACCATACGAGAATGCGCCAATAACTGTCCAGCAATTGTCGATCGCTGTGTTCGAGCAATAAAGCACATCTCCACAGGAATTTTTTTTACCAGTCCTGTGGCAAGTACGGGAAGCACATAGCAGAGCATGCCCTGCAATCTCTAGTCTTCACACACCTTACTGGGGCCATTGCTTACTAATTGGTCGTTGAGCAAAGACTTGATTCTTTCTGGGACCAGTGCGGGTTTCCGCCAGAACTGTCTGTGGTATGCTAGTCCCTTCTGTATATGCTCCGAATTTCATCGAGCTAAGTCACCTAGCAGTGAGAATGCGAAAATCACTTTCGTGGTTAAGTTTTGCACACCTGTGTATTATTTGCGGAGGTGAGCTACGAATGAGACGTTGTTGATTAATTCTTTTTTGACAGTTCCGTTTTCGTGGTATGAAAGGTGTCGTGGCGGTTAATCCGATGCTAGATGAGATCGCCTCATGGGCGAAGAAGTACACTATTCGACCACCTAATCGAGAATTTGGCAGTTGGGATCTGAAGTTGATATTTCGACCCAGTCAGATCAAGTAAGTTCTAATAGTCAGCTTTCGCTGTTGCAGTTTCACTTTTGTTACGACTGCAATATTTTCCTCAAAGGTACACCTCATGATGGATTTAGGTGGATCAGTCCGTTAGATCGGTGGGGGGGATAGAGCTGTTTACGTGACTTGAACTTGCTGTTCTGGCGATTTGAAATCCCTCGACAAGAGCGTTGGGCCTTATTTTGAGTACGGGTGACCGTAGATAATAAGAAAGGATAAAGCAGTTGCCGTTGATCAATCCCTTTTTGGGATGCGGCACGCATTCTACTTCCATTTGTACATTCGCAGTGGCATTTGAATGCGATGTGGCCTATACAATGACTTGCGGGGGCCAGCCGATGTACAAGTCAGTGTTTTTATCCTCCCAGAAGTCTGGTACCAATTAACCGACCCCGGAGGGATGGAAGGCTTGGTTGGCCCGGGCGACTCACGACCCAGGATTTGATCCCCGGACCGCTCGCGTGGTAAGCGCGCCACTTGTCACTACACCACTTCCGCCCGCTAAGATATATTAGGTTGGAAAGAAAGTCCTGCAACACTTTTTCAAATTTTTGATTTTAATTTTATCTTTTTTGTTACAACTTCCTGACCGGTCTTATATCTACCATGAGTGTCCACCACTTGTCTCCAACGCTCAGACCTTACAACTGTCTCGGAACTCTCGGAAATTTCTTGATGCTCCTTTGTCAAAACCCAGCGAAGTGCGGCTAGAGAAAGGAGGCGACCTCACTTTCGCTACCCGCGTGATTCGCAATGTCATGAAAGAAATAAATATTGTCGCGGTACGAGGGCTCCTGACGAGCTGCCTCGGCCAGCTTCTGGAGTTCCGCAGCCTAGACCTCTACCTACACAATGGTGCCCATAACGAAGAATTTGTAGTGGAGCTTCCGTAAGAGCCCTACCTGTAATGGAGTGTGAGGGACGCTGCTGGCTTCTTATAAAAATATCAAAAGATCGGAAGCGCTGGTAAAGGTGAAACACGCTGTAGCGGTGAACGGCATGCCTATTAGAAGCTATTGCAGATAGTGTCAGTCGTTGACACGAATCCATAGTTTATTTTATGAAAATTTTTGCATAATGTCATCAATTTATGTTCACCTTAGTCAATATACAATTAAATTCATTGCATGCTCCTCTGCATGATAATTTTGTACGTCTACTCAAGGTTTATTCGTCTTTCCCCTGTGTCTTTATTTCGCCAATCCCAACTCACTGATGAGCTCCGGGGATTGACGAAATAATAAGGTTCGTCTGAGGAAGGAGCGAAACGAACCATTTTAATTATTTCGTTTATAAAGGTTTTTCTTTCTTAGCGTGCGAACAGGATGTACTACGACAGTACTCGGAGTACGGAGTTACCTCAATGGTTGAGATTTTATGAATTTCGAGGATCAACTACTGATTGCATACGTACTTGTCTTCACCTCGTGGAACAAAGCCTCAAAAAAAATGCTCTACCATTTGTTAGTCATAAATGTTCCCTATAAATTTCTCAGAAAAAAATTCTAGAAAGGGTGTTGCAGAACTTTCTTCCCAACCTAGTAGTAGACCTTTTGCTCATAGGGGTCTGAGATCTGGGCTGCGAATTCTCGTTGCCACATAAACAGCCCTTTTACAGCAAGAAAGGAAGAAAATTTTTTACTTGGCAGATATGTGTTCAATCATCCTCGCGCATTTATATCTATTACTGTCGTTTCATTTACGAATAAAACATACTAATGTTTATTATTAGAAGAATACCAGAACATACAAAAAAACTAATTATAACGCGGGGGAATGAATCTTCAAAGCGCTGATGGTAAGTTCCACTAATCGTGTAGCTCTGATATGTATTAGTCATTCTAGATTTGATGCTAAGCGTACGGAGAAAGATTCGCTAGAGATTGTGAAGTACTCAGCTCCTGTCCCAGTTTCTTTGAACAAACCATTCATCTGCATTCTGGATCAGGTTTGTGCACCAACATTCGGGTTTTAACTTCGAGTCAGAGGGCAGAAGCTGCTGCCTGCTGCCTGAGGCTGTCATTCAAGTTCTTTTTTGTTTTCTTCATTTTCTGTTTTGATAGGGTTGTGCAAGCGCAGGCATTTTGGCAAGTGTCGCTAGCCTGGATTCGAAGAGGGTTGAGCAATGCAGCTATGCTTTAAAACATTGGTGACATTGTGAGAAACATATGTGCCGCGCATTGCAGGCCATATCGGACCGTGCGGGATATATATCCCCCGCACCCATTACACTCATTTTTTTCGCGCACGCCTGATTCTTTTAGAAGTTTCTTGTATTCATTCCATGGAAGAGACCTTGACATAGCTACAAATATAGTGGCCCATTAGAATGTCACGTGTTAATTTCAAGAGAAGGATTTCTAAACTTCACGTTATCTTCAATTTAGTTTACTTTCCTTTTTCCTTTTTCTTTTTATGTATGCGAGGGCTATAATAATAGTATTAGGTTGTTCGGAAAGTTGATGCGGGTTTTCAACCTCTTTTTTTTTTGAAGAAGCATATTTCCACTCAAATTCCAACATTTTCGATCGCAACAAAAACTATTCAAAACTACATATTTTTTCTTAACAAGATGCACACTCAACTGTCCCGCATGTGACAATGAGCGCTTCTGTAGGCGATGAAATCATCGAACGTCGTTTCCAGATCACTTTGAACACTGAAGTATTTCTTGCTCAAGAAGCTGTCGGGATGGTTGGAAAAAGTGTTATTGGTGAGCGAGAGGTCCAATGAGTACGACGTGTTGAGCAAAGCTTCGTATGCCAGTTTGTCCAATCTTTGCGAGGTCGTTTATGGGACATGTGGCTGAGCGCCACCATGAAGGAGGGTTCTTTCATTTCCTCTCGGTTGACGAAGTTGGTGTTTCTAGAGCATCTCATCGGTATGCTGGAGAGACATTGGTGTTGTGTCAAATTCACCTGGTTCCCAAGAGGTGTGGTGCATCAGCCCCGTGGGAGACCGCCGAATGTTCAGCTCAACATTGACCTACTACAATTTCGGCTTTAGATAACTTTTTGAAGATTCATCGCGGTCCAGCTTGTGAAGGGATGGCTTGCTATATTCGTGAACAGTCCATTTTCCATTTTAGATTGCAATGCTTTCCTAATATTCGTGGTTTTCGTTACGTAAAATGGGTGGAAACGACACCTTAGGAATACGGTTTTGCTGCTGCATCGGGTAGCCAATGCGGTTAGCCATCCACCTCCCCAGTTATCTTGATGAGACACAAGTCTGTTTCAAATGATACTTGCCCCCCTCCCCAGTCCTTACTGTTAACTATAGTGCAGTTGGTCCGAAACCATCTTCTACGGGAACCTTTAAGAAGGCCGTCGTTAACAGCGGAATCATGCTCATGACTCCCCTCACCTTCACGATGGAATTCATTGAGACCAAAATGTTGGAGCCGATGTTGTGCTGTGCTTTTATTAGTGCTTCCTTGGCCCCATCCTTCAGTGTTATTTCGACTGGTCTACGAAGCACTACCTCAGAGTTTCAGCACATCGAAGTAAACTTGCCAAAATCGCTGTCTTGACACCTTTATTTCAAATCTATAAAAACCCCGAAATAGCAAGCCATATTGAAACTCAAATACACTGAAGGAAAGAAGATACAATAGGCTTGCCAATGATATATAGGGCTTCAGGTCTCGAATGAAATATCAGTATAAAAATATTTCATGAATGCATGGCATCTCGAAACCCGCATTACTTTCCGAACAACCTTAATAGAAGTACATACGGAACCTGGTTTGCTTTTGAGTCCCATTGCAGCGAGGTCTGACGAATTTTGCTCTTTTCGTTGTTACTTCACGTCTTTCGATGGGAATTCCAATACTGCACCCTTGCGTAACTTCTGCTTACTGAAAATTACTGATTTAGTTTCGTATCAACCGTTATTTCTGCATTTATCACTCAAAATCTGCTTTGATGATCTCAGGCAGCCGCGCTCGCAAATACGCGCCGGTACCATGCGCCAAAAATCGCGTTGTGATCTATGTGTTAATACATAGAGGGTTCAATCTTGTCATCATTCCCATGCTCTCCTCATGTTGTGGGCTCGAGAAGCTTGGGAAAACAAATGTTCTCGGCGCTAAAGGCAGTGATCACGACTCTTGGAGGGCACTGCGGTTTTGATGAGGTCGTTGAAATACGGTTGGTAGATCCTCAGCGGCGTCGTGTGGTATTTAAAGGACCACGTCTTATGCCCTTCCAGGCGAGGAATGATTATCAAATAACAATCATCACAAGCATTGCTCCACGCTCGTAAATTCATTGCTAAGCAGAGAAACAAGGGTTTTCACAAAAGTGAACATGGTCTGCACTAGCAACATGGGATTACCACACCTCGGTCGTATTTTGGAGAAATTAAAAAAGGCGAAGAGAAAGTGCCCTAAGTTGAGTAAGTAGGGAAAAAAATAAGAGAAATCGTGATCCTTGTCTTCACTAAAATCAGTTTAAACTTCTGTAGAGAGGGTTATTTGGGAGGCAGGGATAGCCGAGTGGTTATGAGGTTAGACTCATGTCTGCACCTCCGAAAACCGCGTGTTTTATCCCTGCCGAGGTTAAATCATGCAAAAATTGCAAAAATGGTTCTAGTACCAGCGTCAGGCCCAGGTTGACAGGCCGGCTGATGAATACCCCAGTCACACCAAAAACATGTCTAAAAGTCGCAAAAGAATCAGTGTTAATGCTAGGACGTCACCCGGAAGTGGCGCGCAGAACCCCCGCCCGAGTTCTGTGGTCAGTATGCGAGGGCTACCGAGGAGTGAACGGCCTCGGCCAAAGAAGCTAGTTCGAATAGGGACTCTGAACGTAGGATCGCTAACTGGGAAGTCCCGAGAGGTTGCTGATCTGATGACGCGCAGGAATATCCAAGTCCTATGCCTTCAGGAGACGCGATGGAAAGGTGCTAAGGCCAGGGAAATCGGGGAAGGTGTCAAACTCTACTACAATGGGAAAGACACCAAGAACGGATGTGGCCGTAGCGGT